TCTTTTAATTTCAGTGTTAATTTGTCCATCTCTGCACAATCCAAAGTTTTTTTTAATCATTAATTCGTCCGGAATTACAAGAAAAGGATGTTTTATTGGGAGAAAAACATAGTCCTGTTTGTTCAAGTAGCAGAATGGAATCAATTTATCCGCCATCTCAGGGGACACAGTTGTGTCAGATCAAAGGGTGGGGTTTGTCACAGATAAGTGTGCGTGTATCGATGTGCACGTGTACCTAGAGATAGTGAGAAAAAGAATTGAGAGTGATCATTTATTTCTAAAACGACGGTGACTTTGAATGGAATTGCTTCCAGTTCCATGAGTATCCAAGAGAAAATGGAAAAGGTGAAAAGATTCTAGAGATGGAGCCAAATCGATTGTTCAAATTGGATTTCTTTGTCTGTACATCTGAGCTAATCTCTCTCTTTATCTGTAGATTATATCAGAAGATATAAGTGAGCTTCAAAAAAACCAGACTACCACTATGGCCAAAATCGCTCAGTACAAGAGAAAGCTAATGGATCTTTCCCATCGAACTTTGCAGGTAAGCCTGTGCTGGCAGATATTTTTTTCTTTTTTTTTTAGCCTTTCAGTAAAAGAAAAAGGAGCATTACGTAAGCTTAAAAATGTAAGGGATCCAGAAAACTTCCGTTCAGTCAGGAAGTCAACCTGAGGAGATGGCCTTAGATTCAGCTGGAGAAGAAAGTATGTTCTAGTCTAATAAATGTACAAAAATGCAATTACACTCTTAAGAGTTACGCTTTCCAAAGTTGCAGTGCTGTTTTATCAATTTATTGGAAGTTATATTTAGTCCATCTGCTAGCCTACAAATAGGGGATTCAGTGGCTAAGACGCTGAGCTTGTCGATCAGAAAGGTCGGCAGTTCGGTGGTTCAAATCCCTAGCGCCGTGTAACAGAGTGAGCTCCCGTTACTTGTCCCAGCTTCTGCCAACCTGTATCTGCCACATCTATTTATCTCCGGCCCCTGCGTTTTATCCCCAGAGCTAGGGTGGGACTTCTCTAGCAGCAGTGGCTCTTCCCTCCCAAGGATCAGCCCACAGATTTCCACTGTTCTCCTCTCCTCTGCCTTCTGTGCATATGTGCGTCAGGCACTGGACCCAACCATTTCTCCTCTTCTTCATCAGCGACCTCCACACATGGGGGCTGTCGACACTCCATCTGAGGGCCGACGGACAGCCCAGGCTTTGCCTTTGTCTCTCTCTCCTCCAGCTCCATTCCCTCTTCCCCCTCGGAGCTCCCAGATTGCCTTGAGCACTGTCCCCCTAGAGTTGCGAACGACTAGCACATGTGTGAGGGAAACCTTTATCTTAGCCTACAAAAATATATGCATTGGGAACAGGAATTTTCATAAATATAAGTTAATGAATGTGTTAAAAATATGACATATAATGTATAGTAGAAAATTGCTTGATGAAAAAAGAAATGAACAGAACATTTGTAGAGGATAATGTTTAAATTAAGAGAAATATGCATAGAAATACCTCCAAATATTGGCAAGATTCTGCAATAGATGTAAGGATGGGGAGAATAATGCCCTAAATAGAGACTGAATTACTAAGGTCTGCTACAAATTCGTTTTTCTATCTTCTCTTCCCATCTATATAGTCTAGATATATATAAAAACGTGTATGTGGGTTCCAGCACAACTCTGGAACGCCTCGAGCAATTTCAACCAAATTTGGTACACAAATGACTTGCTCTCTGGAAACAAATACTGTGGGGATAAGACACCCCTCCGTGTGTGTGTGTGTGTGTGTGTGTGTGTGTGTGTGTGT